TTATTACTCCTGCACTTGCCAAGGTGACTAATAAAAGATACATTTTCATGGTGTGAAAAAATATGTCGTTTATAACTACAAATTAAGAATAATGTATCCTGTTATTATTTCCGTTTTTCAAATTCCGCTGTTAGTTCGTAATTTTTTATAGTCCCTAGATCTGTGGAAACGTTGTTAAGGCTTCTGTATTTCGCACTTCTGTTTGAACAAGCTAAATTTTTGTTCCGGTATTTAAATTAGACATTAGCTAACAACCCCTTCGAAAATGTTGGAAAACTCAAATATTTTGGAACGATAGTAACAAATCATTACTGCAATCACGAAAGAAATTACAGCTGGTTTCAACTTTGCAATTTTTGATCCATTAATTTCAGAATATTTTGTTCTCTAGTCTCCAAGCCTAAAGAGTAAAATAAGGAAAACTACAGTTTTATTTGTTATTTTATATGGGTGTGAAAGGATAAAAGTGCGTAATAAAATAATTAAATTTATAATTTAGACTATTGGAATATAATGAGTATGATTGTCATGTTACACCCTATGCCTCATCGCTCCCAACATAATATGTGCCATTGGAGCAGACCCTGGACCACTTTATTCCAATGCATATTACCCAAATCTGTATCCATTAGATAGTTCTAATTTCATACTCCCACGACATTCGGTCTACTAAGACGTTACATTCCTAACACGTTCTGTATTCGTTAAATTAGTTAATTTCTGTCGTCCGAGATGCTTACTTGCCGCATGATTGAAACCAAAATAGGCCTGTGTACAGCATGCACCAAAATGTGGGAAATGAAACATTGATCAAGATACTGTGCACGAGAATATCATACGCATATAGAATAAAAAGATTGTGGTAACAGATAATGCGTTGTCATGGCAACAGCTACATATCCTGAAATGTTGCAATACGGATCTGAAAGGGTCGCGTTACTTGCTGTCACGATAAGGTAGGCTATACAGTGCGTTAACAATTGTACGTTGAAACGACTCATGTGGATTATCTGAACACCATATGGCTGTCAGTTCATACAGAGAGAGAACAGAAAATGACAGCGAATTTTCGTTATCTATAATCATCGCAATGTTTAGGTCCATGATGCAACTGTGTTCCTAAAGACTGTAATACCTTAAACATCCGAGATATTTAATTGTATTTAACGACGAATTTTCATGTGGATTGGTTATATAACATCGCTAAATAACCTGTTAATCTGTAAATCTGTCAGTCAGATTATGACGATGGACTTTGGTTAAACATATTAACAAGGGTGGAAGAAGTTGTATCGAAACTGGGGTGCATATGTTTTCCAAATACGTTCTTTGTTTATTGGTATACCCAATTGTCTTTGATGTCTATTTATTGCAATTAGAAATGCATTGTTGTAAAGCCAATACAATTTTGGACATCATTGTAATTTCTATAAATATACATCGCTTCGAAAATGTTTCAGATATATTTATATATAACCGGTATATAATATTATGCAAGATTGTTTGTATCGCTCATCATGTAATTTTGAATTATCAGTGCGTCATTGATGTCTGACGAGGAGGCCTGAATCAGAAATGTTTTCGCGCTGATTTTTTCTCTCTTTAGAAGCAATTATAGAACTAAAATAATCCACTAATACCGGGCTTCACATTTCAACTGTTATCACTCATTCTTCGTATTTGAGAGTTTTAAGGATTTGAACTATAAAGCCGATTGTGCTGGCTGAAGTCTTTGGTACTTTTCTTTATTCCCTCCAGTAAATCTTGGTACAGCGCCGTAACGTTTTCGTGGTCAAAGAATTTCTTATAATTACATTCCAGCGTAGTATTGAAGTGTGAACATATTTTAGGAAGACTCAAGTAGGAGGTTTCTCCCCTGTTCGCTAAGTGTGTGGGATGCACATGTTTAAGCCGAACTGGGGGGAGGGGGGGGATTAAGGAGCATTCTACTTCTGCTCCTTTTCCCATTCATCATAAACAATTATTCCCCAGTTCAGCAATCTGAAGTTTAGAGAACGTTATTAAGCAAATAAAAATGCAAAAATAAAAGCCCAGGGAAAATTCAAAGAGACGGACTTCATTTCGCATCATGAATAGATTCGTTCGATCAGTTAGACCGATGCGGCCTGTTATGTTTCCAAATAAACGACAGTTGCCTAGTAACTGCACGCACGGCGCTAGATTCCCACAGCACGTGCCCTCTTGCCATTGTCACCAACCTAATAGAACGTACCTCTCTGTGTAGGGATTGCTGTGTTTCCACTCCATTATGTTACCGTGGTTGCGTGGCAGTCTAATGGATAACCGACGTTCGCGTGCTTTGGTATTTATGCTTGAATTGCCCATGTGACATAAGTGTATAACGTGCGTCGAGAAGCAGAAGACAAGAGGCTAGTTCTGATCTGTCGTGTAACTATTGAAGCTCTAAGCTCATGTAAATTTCATTCCGTACCGCAAGAAAACTCGATTCTTGACCACTACAAAGATCAAGTGGTTGATGCTGTCCAAGGAAATAATCCTTGTTTACAGCGATAATCATTAAAACACATAAGTACTAAATTGAGAGTTATTGTTTGTTGTAGCGTATAGTTACCATTGAGCTTTGAGTTGTTACACGACTGTGACTAAGTTCGAAAGATCGCCATTCTCACATAAGGATCGAAAGGGCAAGCATCCAATATTGAAATATTTGTTGATGATTGCAATGCAGTACAGTTCGATTAGATTAATAAAAACGCAGAATCGATGTGATTATACAAGAACCCACGTAGGTCGCGTCATGTTGTAATCTGTTCGCGCCAGTGCGTCGTCTTTCAACTGTCGAAGTGCAAAGGATGTTTTTTCTTCTTCCACAGGTACAATGGGTGTTAATTGTCGAACACTACCTGCCATCTCGTTCTTACTTAATTTGCCAGGTCCAGTTTAGGGAAACATTTCCCGATTCTCCTGTGTCAAACAGATCGAAAGTATTTTTTCTGGTGAACCCTCTTCATCGGGTTGCATCAGACATGATGAACAGAGTGAATGCATTACATCGCTGAACGCGGTGGACATTATCATGTGCTTTGGATACTGCGGGACATTTTTGAGTCATACATTCCACTGTCTATACTACGATGCGCTTGGTTTCTCAGAAACTCGAAAATTTCTTCCAGTCATACTCCTCGCCCTGAGAACCTGAAATCTCACTGACCATATGGCTGTTGATGTAGCACACTAATAATAGTGAAAATATTATTATTATTTTATAAGTTCTGGTTAAAAGAAACATAATCGATTTCCCCCCCCCCCTGTAAGTACATATGACAGCTGCAAAAAAGAGATTATCGGAAAAAAATTTGTACGTACTGCTCACTGAATTGGCCTTTTTCCGTTACAAATTAATCTTCTTCCCTTGCGGATTAAGCTCGTAGCCTGTTCTATCTTCATTATTGCATATTTTTCCTTGGTCTGCCGATATTTATACTTGCTAGTTCCATCATCGTATATTCTTTAGTGATCGAAAGTCCCTTGGCCCTGTTATGAGGCGTTCGTAGTTCTGACTTTGTGATGCGATTGCCACCTCTATTTCGTTCATCATCATAGACGTGTTGCTTTCTCTTCATCTATCAAGTCACGTCCAAACTGCTGTGGGTTTTCCTTTTCTGTCATTTATGCCTTCTTACTTCCTCTGGCTCGGTCGTTTGGATCATTGGAGTAGCGCCTCCACCGCACCACGTCCAGGTTTTTCCCACCAGAGGAATAAATTAATAATTATACAAATTAATGGTCTATTTCTTTGCATATTATCAAGTAGTACATATTCCGATTTTTTAAACTTTACGAAGACCGACGTTAAGTGAACTGTAACTAAACAAAGCCAGTTACGCCTTACTTCTGTGACAAGTTACACATCATTATCGCTATTGTGAAGAAATAAAGAAGTTACTTGCATTTTGGGATCTCTCTTGTTGTCTGTTGGATTACTTGATCTTTTTTCTGTCAAATGATCCGTCGCATTCAATATTTGCCCTATTTCTATGGGATACAGACAGAGTATCTTACAAAAAGTACAATAAATCAAGCGATCCATTTTGCAGAATGTTTCCGTCAAAATGAAATATGAAAATTCCCGACCCGTATTCTGTTAGCAGACAGCAGCGCTTTTTGTAGTAAGAGATGCATTTGCACTTACAGTCTACATCGAAAATGTGGCATCAAGTTAGGCTTCCTTTTGACATCCGTGCTAAATGAGTAAGAGCCGCTTTTAGTAATGCATATTTAACGACTTCATGACGGCACGCTTCAGTTTGCAGGAATCTTTGAAGGTAATGAATGCATCGATCTACCACGGTCTCATTAAATTGTCACATTGTAAGATATTTTAAAGCAGCGTAGCGAATTTTTTGTTTCAGCTTAAGATTTAACTTGTATCGTGGTGAAAATGGTAAGATTCGGGTTTTAAAATAAGAAAAAGTGTTGGAAATTTCCACCGTGTTCAGCGATGTTTGCATTCACTCATTTCCTCATATTTTACGAAACCCGATGAAGTGTTCCTGTGTCACGGAAACTGTTCACCAAACGAGATATTGTCGATTTGTTTTGCCCAAGAGAATCGGGAATGTATCCTTAAACTAAATCTGGGAAGTTAAGTAAGAACAAGTTGTCAGGTGAGGAAAAGACATCCTTGCTCTTGGCCGTTTAAAAGACAATTGATGAACGGGCGTGGGCAGATTCAACATGACGCGACCTGCGTGGGTTTTTGTATAGTCACATCGATATTGTGTTTATTTTTCTAATGGAATTATGTTGAATTGCAGCTGTAATAAATATTTTAATATGGGTTGCATGGCTTTTTATCATCCTAAGTAAGGAATGTTGAGGGGATTTTTCGTGATATAATGCAGTTGTATAGTCATTTGCCAAAATAGTATTATAGGGTTATCTACTTGTTACGATTACAAACTAGTTCAATGCTAGTACGAATGAAATTCTTAATCACTTAATTTTCTCTGTTGCAGGTAAGTGGAGATGTGCCTCCCTAGTCGAGGATAAACTTTTTACTATCACACCAGGATACTGCCGTCTGTTATGGCGTGGGTTCAACGCTCTACTGGACCACACTTTGCGTTCGTCTACATATATAATATTCCTACAGGAGGTAATCCTCATATTATAAATATTAAGTTTTGCTGCTATTGATATTTAATGATCAAACTGTTTAGGTGTATTGCTACCGATGTAGAATTTGTTAATGAGGTTATGATCGTCTACGCTTTTGTAAAAAAAAGTTTTTACTGAGCGTACTTTTTCTGTAGGAGAACACGCCTTTAAAACTTACACACAATTAGAATTTCCTGGAGTGCAACCTCATTGTCTAGCGTTCTCATTATTTTTTACGGCCAGTCTAATTTCCTACCATTTGCATATTTAAAATAATACAATCTTAGAAGCCTGAATGTTTCTGCGTTTTCTGTACTACAACAACAAAAATAATAGTTTCAGAAGCTGGATTCTGCTTTCGTCGTCAGACGAAAAAGGGGAAAAAAGAGGACAAAAAATCTATCTGTTGGGCCCTCCTGGTTAAATTATCCTCTATCCTGTTCTTGGAAATAAAGACAAAAACATGATCTTAATACTCGATGTGCATAATTGTGCATGTGAATAGCTGGCCCCTAATTTATTTCAGTAGTAACGGTCAGCACTGATTAGGCATTACAGTAACATTGCAATCGGCCACTTATCACTGGCTTCAGAACCAGAACACGAGACTTGCACAGGGAGTCAATTTGACCGGAAAATATGACGGAACTGCTGTCCGCAGTTGTTTCAATAACTTCGGCAACCCTAGAATACAAGTGCTACGCAGATTGCCTGGTGAGTAGGCGAAGAGAGAGCACATAATATTTTTCTTCGCAAAAGAAATGTTTTCGTGGAGTGATCCTATTTGTAAAGCATGTACGTTTAAATATTTTTTAGGGATTTGTTGAAAGTGCTATATATTTTAAAACAAAAATAAATGTATTTTGTTTTACTCATTGCACAATATATATATATATATATATTTATGACCAGTCTGAACGACTGCATGTTTGAATTTTAACAGTTATTACTATTTGCGACAACATTGTCGAAAGTGTTATAAAATAGCAAGACTGGTTTCGTTGAACACATTTTATTTTGCTAGACAGGGGCAGTTAAATTCTCCCTGTGCTTACTCATAAATAAGACATACTGGGAGCATGGATTTGAAGCTCCCTGCATGCTCAAACCTGTCATTTCATGAAAGGACAATTTCATTCTCTTTGCTCTGTACTGTCTGGGTGAGAACCAGCTTTAACCATTGGATATGGGGATAGGTGGACCGCAGCTGGTCTAGATGTGGTTTCGAAGAGAAAATCCCTATTCTGGCCAGGGATGAATCCGATCTTCAAACGTAACTAGTTATTTTGCTAGCTGAAACGCACCGATAATACTTTGTGAGATTTTATAATTTTCGTATGAATCATGACAAATATTGGGATGTAACAGAGGAAATATAATTGACAGAAAATATATTTATTTTACGCTGACTCGTCAGGTATGTCTCCCCGCTGTAATTACCTTTGTGGATATGCACACTATGAAAATATAAGGTTAATATATCATTTAAAGGCAATGTAATAGCATTAGGAATTAGTGTCCAGAGGAGAATTTCCATGTGGGTCAATGCCATACGCATAGTCTAGTACGCAGGAGGTTGATTGGCAGTTACCATAGGACGCCGAAACATGCCAGCTACACTCACTGCAAGCTCGGCGATTGTATACACTCTCCTGCAGGTCTGTTTAGTATTGACTTTATCTAGAATCTCCCACCCCCTACGCACCTTTTTTTTGGATTCGACTGCAGGTAATCGATAATCTTCATCCACAGGTACACAATTTTGTGTGAAGATAAAATAAGATTACGTAATATATATTCAAAATGTTACCAAATAAACAGTCGTGTGATTAACTGTTTCTCCAAAGAACTTGTAACTAGCGTCTGATTTTCAGAATATACGTTACAGGGTCAAAAAATGCGGATAGCTTCTAATACTCACGGGCTTTGGAAAATTCTACTACTACTACAGATGGAAATACAAGACGAATTAAAGTACTGTGTTGTGGCTGTTACTTTTTAGTTGTCACAGTTTTATTACTTATTTCTGTGCGTGGGTCTGTAACAGTCGTTGATCATATGTGACGTGGACAAAATATGAAATTCTCGTACCTACATTAGACTGCCTTTACCAGGTCAGTACACGGTAAAAGTAAAAGTAAAGTTGTCTCGCTATACTCCATGCAGGCGCTTGGGAGCGGCCCTAGATAAGGGTGAGTGGTCAGCGCCACTCCCCGACCGCACTTTACTCCCGGCAAAGGACCTCGGTACCCATTGGACAGGGGCTTAGTGGGCCCCAGAGCTAGTCTGAACGCAGAGGCTAGAGCAAGATCACTCTGCCCCTGTCGGGGATCGAATCCCGGTCGTCCAGTCCGTAGGTAGTCACTATACTGACCTGTGCTACCTCGGCTCCGTACAAAGGGTACAAAAATTCAAAATAGCATCGAAGACGGTAAACAGCAACTTCTGAGTTTGTGTGTCTGTAGACAGTAACTCATACAGCAAAAGGATCAGGTTATGGTGTAGTTTAATTCCTTTCTTTATGTAAGTCTAACATTAAAATATTTTCAGTAAGAGAGTTTAGGCTCTCACGGCGGTGAGTATGAAGATAACTGTCTTCTGGGTTGTTGTACCTTGTAGTCTATAAAAGTTTACCGACGTTTCAGAAGTTCTTGGTGCCTCCATCGCCATCGCCCTGATGATAAAGGCAGCAAGCACCTCTGAAACGTCGGTTAACTTCTGCCAAACTACATGTCACAACATCCCAGAAGACAGTCATATTATTGCCGATACATTATGAACATTGTTGATGTCTTGAGTGGTCTATTTTGGAGATACGATCCTTGTGACGTCTGTTCCTGCAATAAAATATTTCTTCTTCCACTTGGGAGATCATGACGTAGACTGGAAGTTAATATTAAAATAGATGTTACGAGAATGCTTTATGGATGCATTAACTGGAGTGAACCGGCTTAGGAAGGTTTCACTAGTGAGCGCATGTCTTAACCGCTCACAAGGAATGTGTAGTAGAACATACTGTAGTCATTCTTTTTTGTACAATTAAACCACCTGAGTACCTCTTCGAGGTTATGTCCTATTGCTCTGCTTTTTGTCACTTGGTTCTGATTGACAGGCTGTGTAGCTATAGTTCATATACGGACATTTTACTAACGAGAGGAGCAGATACTGTATACCATATAAACTAACTCCATAGAGCCGAGTTTGTCTTAAGTAGCTTGTAGTTGAGAAACTTGTCAAGACATTTCCCTTTATCCTATCCTGAGTCAGATGAATCATATCCGTCTTTTGAAGATTAATTTTAATATTATACTGCCACCACCGCCAATGTCTCCAAAATGGTCTCTTCCCTTCATGTTTTCCGACTAAAATATAGTATGCATTTATTATGTACCCCGTGCATGTTAAATTCCTCTTCAATATCCCATGCCATTCTGCTTGATTTAATTGTCCTAATATTTGGTATTTAGTACAACTTATGATTTCTTCAGTGTTTAACACTCTATTTCTTCTTATTCTCGTGCTCTCCACCGCGTTCCCGAAGAATCTCAGTTTCTGTCTCATATCAAAAAGAGGTAAATCATCAACAGTCTGGTAATACGACCCGAGTGATCGGCCGGCCGAAAGACACTGCGTATCTAGGATCAGGTTCGTACTCTGTGCTCCTGTTTCCGGTTATCGAAGTGGTTACGTTTCAAGACGTTTCCGTCTAAAGTCTGTTTACTTCCGCACATGTAATGGGAGCATCTCTGTAAATGCATAGCATTACAACTTTGTCGCAGATTTCATTTACGAGGTCCAGAAGGTAAATGTGTGTTCTCAAACTTTGATGTCTGCGTACTAGTCGCTACTAGAATTGAGCAGTTCTTCGTTGATGTTAATATTTGCTTTAACCGATTCGTGAATATAGCTACGAAGATAGTGAAGACTGTGTGGACACTGTGCTTAACCGTTTGAGAAACAAGGGACATAAGAGTGATTTGAGAATGTGTCCCTTCAACATTCGGTTCACTGATTGTCCTGCTGGAACTAGATGCTTATCGATCCCTAATATTCTTCTCTCTGGCCGCTTTAACCCTAATACATTAAAATATGAAATATAAACTCAAAGCGTAGAATTGTGAACAAGCTACATGAAAACAGTATTTGCATACTGTTTTCTGACAATACATTGCCTTTCGAAATTTGTGTATCAACTCCTATATTCAGGTTATTCGTTAACTTTTCGCTGACAGTAGCGCATCGAATCAGCATTCAAAGAGTCACATGTGTAGTTAGCACTGAGTTTTATTAAAAGGTCTTTTGTTTGGGTCGCCTTTTGGAAGACATCACACCAAACAAGCACTAGACATGCTGTTACCGAAAGTCTACTCAAAGTTAATAGTTAAGCATTCCTAAATGCTGTGTGAATTTCCGGTACTCATTGTGATGAATTTTAATTACTGTTTTCTGGGATGTTGCCCCTTATAGTATGGCAGAAACTTACCGATGATTCAAGAGGACTTACAACCTCTGTAATGAGGGTTATCGTGGCCTTGATATTGGGGGTAGCAAGCTCTTCTGAAACGTCGGTAAACTTCTACCAGACTACGCGGTGCAAGATTACAGAAGGCAGTCACCTTCATTCTTAAATGTTGTTGGTAGGTCGCCAAATATATGCACTTGTTCTATTCTGATTCAAAAACAGCGAGGAAGGGTTTAAGTGAGCTAGTGAACGGGCGAGTAACTGGATTAAAAAGCGTGAAGGGATTGTCTCTCTTATTATTTTTATATGAAGTTTGAAGGAAAATTTTCACATTCAAATGCGAGGCAGTTTCCTCTTCGTGCGTCATCTCGTTTGCCTTCACACAGAGAAACTACTTGGTCTCTGTAGAGTCTTAGTGCACCAAAAGAAAGGGTCCTTACATTTGCATCAAGACAACCTGCGACCTTCTAAGATCGTGGTGGAAATCTACGATCGACTAGCACTGAAAATAAACTGCATACGCTTTCGAGCACTTT